TCTATTTTTGTGTTGGAATCTAAGGTTGAATAAACCGACGAGCATGGACTGAGGTTTTTACGGTTTTTACAAATTAAGTGGTTTTCATTTGATCGCTCCACATATAATATATATATATAATTTTAATTTATTCTCAAAATCTATGTAACTCTTTCGTATTTGGCATGGTGCTCGAACCTTGTTTAGAGATGTTTTTGCTGGGATTGACCCAAATTTGAAAGTGAACATAATATATATCTAAATTGAGAAAAATAATTAAATATGATAAAATCTGTATTAAATAATTGATGATGAAAAATGAATTATAAATAAATAAAATAACTTGTTTAAATAGCTTAATTTTCAAAATATGTACCCGATCAACCGGATCAATCCAACAACGGATTGGATTGGGTTAGGTTGCATTCAAAGTTCGAGTTTGGTTTGGGTTGCAGGTGAGATATGGATATGACACTCTTCATTTCCCTTCCTTCTTCATCACACATTTCTCATGAACTTCTTGAAGCTACCACCTCCTCTTCATCTTCATCTTCTTCTCAACCACAACCACAGATCTCTCTCCTTTCACCCCCACACTCACCGCAACCGCACCTTCACGCTACCTTCCTTTTTCCGGCAGAAATCCACGTCCCCGAAACGTATCATATCTTCAATTTTACAAACCGGCGATGGTGTTACATCTGATTCAGATTCATGTTCAACGGAACATGATAATCTTAGCAGTGTTGTCAGAATTGTGGCTGTGGTTGGAGAAGGAGCCCTCAGTCCTCTCAAATCAGCATCATGGCTTGATGTTATGATCCACACTGTAAGATATATCTAATTCCACTCATGTTTTTATTTCCCTAAATTGTATTGTTTGCATCAACGGAACAGAGAACGGTCATGATAATTGACAAGTGATTTCAGAAGTCAGTTCATCACTCTTAGGTTCGATTTAAGAGAAAACAAGTTCTGGGAGCAGGTTTGGTTTCTATATGCGTGTTATTTTATGCGAGAAACAAGGAAGGAATTAGTGAAATTTAACTTCCTGATGTTGATAGGGGTCTGATGAACATCAACATTTTTAGACAATTTCCCCAAAGAAAAGGAAGTTTGCTATGTTCTAACATCAGCTATTTTAACCTAAACAGCTTCTTTTATCCTTTGGGTGAAGGGGAACTTCAGACCTACTCTGAATCTACTTCAAACGTAATCGCTACAACAAAATTTGGTTTTTAGGAGGCAAATAGAACAGAAGACGTTACAATAAATTGTTATGAGATCATCACATTTTTGAAAAATGTTCTATAGCCTTTTAATGTATAAAATAAAAGTTAATAGAACGTTTTACTTTTAATGTTCTGTTAGGTTTTTTAACTTTGGTGCTAAGGACTTATTGTAATCTCCTTTAGATAGGAGACATAGTGAAATACTAACAACCTATTGTAGTTGATAAACCATCTAGCTATATGTAAACTTCCCAAGAACATTTCGAGAAGGTGGTCAACTTACGATGCGAAAAGGGTCAATTCATATTGGATTTACAACACTTTCAGAAGGATACGGACGATGGTCAAGATGACCAAGGTCGTGTGAAAACTCACTCATGCAATTTCTAGTCAATGTGATCCTTCTGGACGTGTTGTAAATCACATGTGATTTGGCCTTTTTCCCACTTTTGATAAGCTGTCCGTCTTCTCGTTTGAACCCGCCGCTAAAGAAGAGTTAATACAATTTAACAAACGGGCTTCTAACTTTGTTTTTGGTTAAGAAGTGCAATTTAGGATTGTCAACTTTGTCTTAAGGTAAACGATTTTTTCTTGAAAAGTTATGAAGTAAACTTGTTTGCTTTGATGAAAAGAGTAGTATTGTGACTTCTTTATGTGTTGCATCTTCTTATCACATGAATGTGTTATATTAGAAGGCATTGAGATCTTTCTTATTCATTTTTATGAAAATAGGCAGAGAGATTAAAATGGGTTGATGACCAATATGATATGCTGGTATTCACAGACAACATCTCCGATTCTAATCAAAACCTTCAAAGGGAGTTAACGACCTCAAACATATTGCTGGTTGTTTCCGTCACAAATCCGGAGCCCGTTGAATGGATTCAACGTTACAGCCAGAAAATCCCAAATGTAGTCTGTTTTGATTCATCACCCGCATTACAAAACAAACTAGGAGGATCACTCGTAAACAAGAAAACAAAGGAGACGGCCAAAACTATATCGGAATCATGGATCAGGTATAATTCCGATGATATAAGGTTCTGTTTGTTACTCATAATCAATTCATACATAAAACCAGTTCCAATTCTGAAGAACTTAAGAGCTCAAGGCTTTTCTACCTTAAATTGCATGGTCAAAAACTGTGGAATTCAGGTTTTGAACTGTCTTTTAGACCCCAACTGTAGGAAAGCTCTTCAATGCTTGAATGAATGCAGCCCAGTTGATCAAGTATGCAATTATCAATGTATAGCTTCGTATGAAAGCCCGATTTTGGAGGAATTTTCCCTTTGTGTATTGCAGAAACACAATTGTCTCGATTTGGATGCAAAAATCCCGGAAAAACCGTTCGTTCCACCGATGGTTAAGTTTCAAGGTGAACCATTATCACATGAAATAGCCGAAGATTTGTTTGTTGGTTGGTTAGGGAAAATGGAGTGGAGTTGGCGGGTTGTTGCGGGCCAGAACCCAGCGTATGACCAATTCCCGTGCCAGTACCAGCTTTTCTACCGCGGAAAAGCAAAGGGTTCGTTTTGGTACGAGCCGGTTTTTCAAGTCAAAACGTTGGATGGTAAGCTTGTTTGGAGGAGACGAAAGTATAGGGTTAAAAGAGGGAAAGTAGCGGGTACATTTTATTTTAGTGTTTTGGATAATGGAGTGGTATCGAATGAGAGTTGGACAATTGTGGATGTTGCCGATGATTTGAGCTGGGGTTTGTTTCATTATAGCGGGGCTGCGCGAGTTGCAGGGCAGTCGTATACGGGTGCGGTTTTAGTGAGTCTGGACGGGAAATACCCAAACGATAGTGAAAAGGATGGATTATTGTCAGCATTGGGTAGATGTTATATCAAGGAGTGGGAATTGTTTGATGTCGATAATTGTTCGTGTAGCGGTCCACCACTCGGACTACCGGAGGGTTCACGTTTGCATACGACAATTAACGTCGATAATCTCAAGTGATGAATCACAAGGGCTGGGCGTTTTCTTGCATTCGTCCAGGCCATCTATGCCCGTTTTCAGCAAGTAAAGGAAGCCCGGGCATTTTAGGTTCGGGCTTTTGGAACAACAATCATCCAACAAAACCCAAAAGCAGCAGAAACTCCATAATTCGATATGAGCCTCTATGCCATATAAATCTATATTGTTCATAGTTTTAATTTTTGTTATACTACGATGTAATTCATGATCCATCTCATTTGCATGTTTGGAAATTTACTGCAGAAAACGACTTATTTTTTCGAGACATCTAAGTCATACAAGTAAAAAGATCTATTTAGAGATAAAAAATGTAAAAATGTAGGCTCATTTGTCTGTTTGGCTGGTTAAACATGGGCTAATTCATAGATCTTTGGGCTTTGATTACCAAGGAACATTCATGATTTAGATGTGAATGAGTCGCATTACTTCTCTCCAGGGATTATCAAACTAGAAATATTCTTGTTATTGCTTCGACTCATATTCCCCCAAAAGTGGATCATTTTTGCTTTAGGTTTTGTTCTGTAGAATGAAATCGGCAAAGTTCATGAGTTGGAGATAAGCGGATTCGAACCACTGATATTCGCGGCAAGGAAAACCACCGCTTCTCAGGTCCTATAGACAAACAAGATTAGGATAATATTAGCATCTACTATTTGTTGTTGGATTAAGGGTAATTTACCGTTAGGATTTACCTAATCTTAGATGAAGGATAAATCATTCAATCTCTATGAACATCATTTCTGCACAAGATGGGGGAGAAGGAATAGAAATTTTTTTTAGAGAATTTTGATATGATTGATTCATATTTATAGACTTGGGTTATTGACAGTTGCTAACCATAAAAACTGTGTCATCTGATCTTATCCAAGCTAGAGTAGAAAAAGCAATAGAAAAATCTGTCAAAAGACGAGAAAAGTTTGAGATCCAATGAGTTATGCGGAATTTCATTTTGTGTTGGAAAAGTAAAAAAATCAATCTCTATCTTTTGACCTACTAAATATATGATATGCAAGCTAAAAACTAAGCCAAACTCTATAAACTGATCATTCTTTGTTTGATAAACCAAATAGGTTTGGAGAGCAATTAATGTTTTACTTCCTTTCTTATGTAGGATAAAATTTCCGCATTGAAGACTATATTCAACATTGCATACCAAAACACATATTGACTAAAACCATTTTAAGCAAAGATTCGGCATCAAAGTAAGCAGTTTGAGAAATGATCTAGATGACGAGTGACTTGTGAGAATCGCCTTTCTCATAATCTTCTTTAGATTTGCCAAAGGAGTAGCAATGACGGAAAATCAATCCAAATCATATGTATCGAAATTGGATTTCCAAAATTTGATAGGTCTAATTCGCTAATTTAAATAAGCCCTGTGGCAAAATGAAAACATGTTTGTCCTATGTTTGGTGCGAGTTGCTAGAGTAAGATTGGGACATGACATGACCTGAGTGATACAAAAATGTTTTTTCTTCTGTGCAACATAAATCAAGGACATTGGACAAGATTATAAATTACTAAATTACCCATGTTAAGTTAAACCCCAAAAATTATTCACAATTCTTTAATCTGTCTGCTTCATTCTCGCCCTCTGTCCCATTTGTTTCCACTTCTAGGTGATGCGACTATAGGTTTCTCCACACCATATGGCCAGGTCGCTCTTGATATATCGTAACTCCCCTCATTCTCAAGTCACTCGCTCCACGACTCGAGACAATAATCAAAAGTCGCAACTCAGACAGCTCTACTTTGAAACGACAACCTCAGATGGATCATTGTTATTTTGTTCCCAACATATGTTGCATTTCGATAGTTGTATAGCAACACACCAATTTCAATCTCATAATAGATAATAATTATATTTAAGTAAATGTTATATAAGTCTTTAATATGAATGTTAAGAATAAGGATATAATATTAATTTTAACAATTTAAGATACTTTATTTATCATACATCAATGTTGTATTTGTGACACTCTTATCAATGGGTATATGAGAATATCATACGAAAAGAATGAAAAACATTACGAAAAATCATATTCAATGGACGAGACATCATCTCGGACCAAACGAGTATGTAATGGACTTCTATGAATGGCGAATATAAAAAACATTATATGGTTGTTCAAATCAGGAGAAAATACTTTAAATAACATAAAAGTATGAATAACGGGATAAATCATATATTAAAACAAGTAGTAAACGTAATTTTGATACAAAATCAATAAGCAATGTACCGAAAAAAGAATATTGATATTATTATTGACCTCATTGGAGAGAGAATAATGTAAGAATTGATAAAAAAAATGTATCTTAGTTGAGTTCAAAGAAGAAATCTATACGTAACAGATACATGATAAACAATGTGTCGTTATCTATAGTAAATCAAGTTATTGTAGAGATGGGCATTATGTTTGGTAATCATGGGTGTCCGGACTTTTCTTTAAACCAAATGCGGGATTAGAATGAAATTTAATTCCAAATCCCACGGAATTGCGTAAATCAAGCGAGTCTTCAGAGGACTTGAACCGACTACAACAAAACCATGTTTATAGGACCCAAAATTACCTAATAGACCACTTTACATGACTTCGATTTAAACATATAAATGTCCTAAAAACACTAATGTCCTATTAAAAAATTGAAGTTTTGAAGCATTTCTCTTATCGTGCGTTTACTTATTCAAGCATGAATTGCAAATGCAAAAATAGAATTTCCTTTTATCGTGAAAGCGTGAGCTTTCGAGACATTATTCTTGAAATTTTGTTTTATGCACTCATGGTATCATATGTTGCGACGTCAATATTGATGGCAAGAAATCACGATAATATTATGGACTTGTACATGTTGTGAAGTACATTTGTACTTTGTCAAATGATGTATGATGGACGAACCGATACATGTACCATGGGGAAGGGTATGTTAAATGTGTAACTAGCTACTAATTTTTCCTTATATACATCAACATTAAAATTACTTTTTATAAATTTAATTTATGATTTAACTTGATTTTAATATAAATACGCACAACTTGAGAAAAACAATACTCGTGGAAAAGGGGGAATAGCCCTCCACTATGTGATTGATGACATAATTGACGTTGAAACACAGTATTCTATGTTGATGAATGATGTGACTAATGATGAACAATAGGATTAGTGGTGCCAATGGTAAAGAATATACGTCATGAATGAAACACCCTATACTTAGATTTTTTTTTTTAATCTGGCAAAAATTCGGCATGACCCGTTCGAAAAGTCGTGTTTTGCCATTTTTTTTAAACCTGTAAACATTTGCAAAAGTAATGATTGTAAAATAACTGACCGTACAAAAACTATGATTACTAACTAGTCTTAATAAAGACGACTATTTACAAGGTAAAAACTTTCATATTCTTCCAAAAAAATACATTTCCCCAAACTAGATTAAGCTTCCAAAAGTCCCAAGCATTGCATCATCCTATAAACTTACCTGCTAGCCTTATAATAACCAAGAATGTTGCTAGCACATTCACTTGAACCAGTTCCTGAGACGCACGTCGACAAACAAAACAAATCAGACTACATGCCTGGTGAATTCAAGAGTTTTCACAATACAATATTTCAAGTAATTTATACTATCAAACAAAAATGCATGACTTACATATGCTTGATGTGATGTGTCAAATAAATGTTAAGTCCAACCAAAACATAATAAGTTARCAGTCAATCAATATTTACAAAGTTCTATGAATACCACACAGTATGAGGGTGGCCCATAACAACCGGAATCAGTGGAGGAGCACTACCCAGCAGTCCACTTATCCGTTAGGCTAATTTCGGTTTAATCACCATTGCGCAATGTGTCCACCTGACACTAAACCTATTAGCCGAGTACCTGGCGCATATATCCATGCACGGTACTCCAATACATTACCAATGAGAGCAACCCATTTACTGTAAAGGGAGCGACCCCAATACAAACGCAACAAAGGGGATGACCCTAAGTCGCCAAATCCGGATCTACCATTCTCATGTCAGTGAGTAAATATATAAATCACAATGCCCCATTTATACAACGTAAGATTTTCTCCTTTGGATACAAAACATGTTTATTTATTTTTTTACAAAAATACATATCAACTTTCCAAGTCACCAAAGTATTTCATACATACTTTATCAAAGAGAACAATGCATTCTTAATATGTATAAAGTCACTTTGTACAAATATCAATACCTTCATTTCATAACATCATTTAAAATCATGCATTTTCTACTTTAATCACTAAAATACGTCCAACAAAATAAATTATGTAAAGAAATAAATTATGTAAAGGTAATTACGTTTGACGTGTACCCCATTAAAATCTACTTGAAACTCACCTTAGCCTATTTAGTTGAGATCCCGCCGGTGCCCAACTT